TATATAATGAGCACTTCATTAATTAATTTAATAGCCATCCTTCCATATGCATGTTTTCATTCATTTATCACACGTATTTTACTGAGCTGTCGTCATTATTGCATGTTCCGTGTTCATGTTCACAAGCTATCCTGATTGCAATTTCTGTTCATATTGTTGTTCAATAACACACAGATGTTATACGACTGGTGGAACATAATCACACCGAAATTCATTCACTGTGTGCAGTGTTTAGTGTGCAGTCAGCATATGCACATATGCACACACAAATATCGATGAGGGCATTTGGCATTAATATATTCATTACATAGTGTTGTGTTCGAACATATGTTTAGTTAAGAGATAACTAGCATTTGTGCTGGAAGGATAAACGATGAATGCAAAGATAGATGGATGAATGAGATTTTATGGTGGTAGTCTTTAGGAGGATGAGGAATTGATGATTGTATGTGCTAGATGTTATTGCATGCAGTTGGTATACATAGATATAAATGGCAGAGAATTGACCGATGTTGTATTATACACTGTGGCTGTTTTATTGTCTTCATAAAAGCAAACGAAGTGAATATGAGTATGAATGTGGGTGTGATTCATACACCGTATTTGCTTAAATGAATGCTTCGGAGTACGTAAAATCCTCAAATGTATGAATGAGGATGTAGTTTTTGGAAGCTTTTATGGCAGAAAAGAAGATGCTGAGCGCGCATATGTGACTGTCATATAATTGATCAAAAATCTAAGTTTTTTTTTAGATCATCGTAGAGACCTGTTTTGAGCGTACTCGGTAAAAAAAAACTAGGTGCATGCGTGAATCGTACGTGAGTGAGTGATGATTTTTTTGGCAGGGTAGGATGGGCGGGTAAGAACGTCTTCAAAAGGAGGGGATCTGTTGAGGGATGATATCCGAATTCCAATTTTTTTGACGAATATCTATTAAGGACCAAAGAGACATATTGAAGAGGTGGGAAATATTTTGTAGCAATGCAGCATGTATTATTATTATTATTATTATAAGAGCAAATCTAATAGTGGAAATTGGGAACGTGTTACTAATTGTAAGTATGGTAATAGTAGTATTAAGAAAGTATATTATTTAAGAATCAGCTTTTTTTTGTTGGTATAATGCTGTAAATTTTATTTCATGAAAATAGAAAGAAAAAGGATGACTTGTTTCAACAATTCGTTGTATTCAATCGAGTAGTACGAATATTATTAATGCTTATTGTGTTTCATCATGTTGAGTTGAATTTCTAACGTGTCCTATACTCATCATCAGATTTGTTGAGACAGTAGTGGTAATGATTTTAGTAATAATTGTTTTTGAATAGTTATTTCAATGCGTTAGAATTTATCGTAATAATACTTCATCGTTTACATTATTCCTGTATTATCTGGAACTGTTAATTTCATACTAAAGTGTATCATTTATTCAACGCCTTCATCTTATGAAACGCATTGATGTATTATGTTTACTATTGTATCAACAAGATCCATTAATTGCTCATTCATATATTTATTATTTATTCTTTACTACTTATCGGCAGAATTTAGTCTCGTCAAATCGAAATAGAATGAAAAACATTCATTTGTGTCATTTATTGATTCGGTGTAAATGTTGACAGTATTTACGCCACAGTGACAACGTTGATGTATCAAACGTGTACCGAATATCCGAGTTCATTTCGTCGCGCGTGTAGAATACAGTAGCACACTTAAAATCAGTCAGTAGTGGTATTATTGTTATAGCAATAGTAGCGCTCTTCTTTTATCCACTATCCCATTTGAAGAGTTTATACGTGACAGTTTGTGGTGCCATTGCAAGTCTAAAAGCAGAGACTGTTTGTGACAGTCGTTTTTATACTATAATTTGTTTGTTGCTTCACGACTTTGTAGTATTACTATATGTTGTACATGCATTTAGAGAAGACTGAGCGTGGTTCAGAAGAGGATCGAGAACTAAGCAGAATGGTGATCAACAGAGCATCGATTATCCCCGAAGAAGCAAATACGCTGAATAGCGGTAGCACCAGCTTGAAACTGAGAAGTGATTTTAAACAGGATATGTCGTCGTCTTACTCTCCTTCTCTTAATCAGATGTCGTCGATTGGCTTTGAACAGGTAAGGTTGAAGTCTTTTGTTGTTGGTCGTTGACTGTTGCATCGTTTTGATTGAAAAAGAATGTAGGTTTGTTACTTGTGTGCAGCAAGTTCGTCCAGCCTGCGATTCGATGTCTGTCGAGCACTGCGCTAGACATCAGCCCGTTCTTGCACTGTTTAATTTCATATTTTCTATCTACCAATGATGCCATTGATGAGTGTGGTTCATAAGCATTTGAATTAATTCTCATCAGATTCACTCTTCATTTTAATCAGATTTTTTCGGTCCAAAAGTCAAAAGCTGTTGAACCTTTTTGATGTTATGCTATTCTCGTCATGAATTAGTGTGTTACAAATTTTCTGCTTGCTTGCCAGCTCATTTTCTCATTTTTATGGAATGAATTTAATCTGTTCCAAATTTACTTGAGCTGTCTCCACCATAAACTTGAATTTATTGGTTCATTAAATCACAAATTGGTGGTTATGGTCATCGTGGAACGCTTATGAATATAAACGATTGTGTCATTTAATAGATATCATTGCATCGCATTGGTTTCGCGCGCACTAATCATTAGTAGTCTAGAAAAGGAAGTAGAAATGATTATGACGATCGTAAAAGAGTATTATTTTTTGTCATTTCATCTTCTAATCATTCTCATTACTAAATACCGTCCTTGTTTCAATTCGAATTAGATTCTTCATCTCCTTTTCACTCAACTCAAATCGTTTTCGATCGTATAAATATGTTTATTTAATATTTTCAGTTGTTGCTATTATTTATTATTGTTTTTAATATTGTTATTATTATCGGGATCCCAGTTACTTTTGAATTCCAAAACTTCCCAGGTCCCAGCCCTCGGAAAGATGCCTGTCGATCTAAAAATAACATATGCGCAACTTTGCTCGTAAGTAGCGTGAAGATCGTTGGTTTAAATAATTTTCCGAATGTGGTGTCGTAGTTTGCAAATTTCAACTATGTCCCACCCTTAAAAAGATTATTTCCTCGACGGAACCAGTGTTTATGAAAAAGCATCGGGAAAAAATCAAAATGGAAGGTTGTTGCATCTGGTTATTTTCTGCCTGGGAAACCGACCTTTGACCGTGATTCTTTTCCGATGAACATTCATGTAAACTGTTCGCAGTCGAGAAGACATCTTTCGAGAAGGTGGAACCAAAAAATTTTCAAAATTCGAAATTGTCGAATTACAGCTCCTCAGGAGTAAAAAGCCTGAGTTAACCTGCCGATGTCTTAGGCTAATTTTTTTAAGCAAAACGTTGTAGGTTATTTTTATACGAAAACGTTACTTTTTGAAGAGTGGGACGTGTTGCTTTTCACAATTTCGTTTCTTCTTAAACATAATTGTCGTTCTAAAAGATATGTCATTAACACCACTGAATATTATTTATTTTCATTAGCATCCCGCTTTTACGGAGAGATTCGGTTTAGTATATAATGACATTTAGGATATATTTACTGTATGTTGTAAACTGTATAATGATGTAATACGGTATGATATAAAAGAGAAATGAAAACTTAGGTAGCGAATATACAACGAGGAGTTGGGGTGATGTGTGCTGGTGGTGACGGCTCGCTGAGACGTGATCGACAACGGTTCGAGCAGTTACTGATGAATGATGTAGCCTGTAATAAGTTGTTCGGTGCCACACGGAACGTTACCGATGCAGCAGCACCTGTTCCGAATGCACTGTTGGACGCAACGAGCGCTAGTGATAACACTCAGCTGTGTGCAGCATGCACCACGACAGCACCAACAACTACTAGCTGTGTGAATCCATTCGTTCTGGCTGCAGCAGCACTGAGTATGCAGCAGCAGCAGAACACAACAACACAACAACCTCAGTTCGCATGGAACGCGAACACCAATACCAGTGATGAGCAGCAGTTGAACTCAAGTTCATATTTTCAACAACTGCATGCTCATGCACAACAAGTAATGCTACTTCAACAGTTGATCACTGCGCAACAACTCCTATCAGCAGCCACACAAAGCAGCAGTAATCAACAGCATGCTGACCAGCAGTGGCTTTCACAGTCATTATCACAGCCATCAGCCACAAATTTCAATGTGAATTTGTTGCGGAGAGGCAGTCTTTCATCGTCAACCGCGTCGTCATATGCATCTTCGTCGTCATGCGCCTCTTCACCGATCTTGTTAAACAATTCAGATGAAGAAATATCCGAATTAAGTGCACAGTCACAACAAACTGATCATGATACGACATCACCGTTCAGAGAGACTGTATTGTCGTCGCAAGATGATGATCGATTCATGATGGATTCATTGATTGAACTCAGAAAAGATCTTTCTGAAAAGGAGAGCATCGCCGTTGCGGTTTTGGCGGGTATGGCTGCCTGTCAGCGGTAGGTTACTGGAAGGAAAGTGTGTTTATCGTATCGCATCTCTACACCTTTCTTTTATTTTTCAAATTCGTTTTGTTGTTGAAGCAGTGATCTATCGAATGATGCTTTGATTGTACCGCATTGAACCATCAGTGAAAAATCATCAGAAAAACTTTGGTTTAAAATTCATTTGCACTAACGGCTTCAGCGCATCAGGCGATTTGAATGACCTTTGAAATAATTTTTCCTGACCAACTTTCATGGAGTTTATCTTCATTCGAGGAAGACTTTTCCTGGAGAGTGAGACCGAGAAAAGTCGAAGTTGGCCTGTTGTGATACCTTAGATGCAAATCGTGCTATCTTTCAGCACATTTTTTGGCGAACATATGCGCAAGTCTCGCCCAATCGAAAGAGATTTTTTTGGAAGCGTGAATTCGGGAAAATCTAAAATTTGAAAGTACTGAGCACTCTGTTGTACATTTGTGGAATGGCTTTATCGAATAGATGATTGATGATTCGGTTCAGTCTCCTAAAATTCTTACGTAGTTGGATTTTAAACAGGATCAGATGCTAGATGGGCTGAATAGTTCGTTGACTTGTTGCAGAAAATTGAAGTTGCATGCTGGCTGCTTCTACAAGTAATTGTTTGTTGACCATTGTTGTTTCTACGTATGTTATCAAGTTGAGAACTTCTTCAAGTTCTAATTGTTCCTGTACCCTTAATCCCTCAGTTCTGTACTCACAGCTTCTTCACTGTTCAAAGTTACGCTAAATTGTTCGTTCATTTAATATGATAATTCATTAACGACTCAATCAAGTGTTTTTCGTGCTTGAATGTGTTTCGTTTTTGTTGGTCTCTTGATATAATGCATAGAACAAGGTTGTTTTTGGCTTTTGTTTGTTTGATCATTCAAGCGATGTGAAGTGATGCAGCGGTCGGTATAGAAAAGGAGGATTATTTTGTATGGTTGGGATGGGAGCATCAATAATGATAATGATGAGATTGATACGATTTTCTCGGGCTTTTAATGTTTATCAGTTGAGAGACATACATTAGTATTCTCAATTGAAGTGATTCATTGACCAGTGAAGAAAACGATCAAATTTTATTTTCTACTTTGACGTAATTCACTTTTTGTTCACCATTCAATTCAATTCAATTTATCGTGCGCATTGTTTCTTTCGTTTTGTAATTTGGTTTTATTGTTTATCTGAAGTTTATTCTCTGTGGGAATATACGTTTGTAAATGATTGGTTCTCATTCATACTAATGCACTGCGGAGAGTATTTATTGTACGCATTTCTTGTATTCATATATGTGATGGTATTGGGCTTGCTCGTTGTTTTAAGTATTTAATTGCATCTAAATTTGTATTTGGATGGAGCTTCCGTCACATGAACGTTATGGAATGGGGTAATAGTTAACAGGCATTTAGTCAAGATTTCACAAAAAAGGAAAACAAGATAGCAGCATTTAATTTATGTACGTTCATGTTCATCATAAGTGATAGCCAATAATTATTCTGCCTTGTTTGACTGAAAATGAGATTTCAACAGTTTGGAAGACGGCAAGGCACAGATTTTCTTACATGAATGAACGAAATAGGTATTGTTGGCAAAGAAGGCCGCTTGAATAGACGGCTGATTTTAATGCATCACCAAACAATTCACTCGTTCATCATTTCTCATATCAGTGATCTATCGCAAGTCAGCTTTCAACCAACTGTATTTTCGTTATCAAATAGCATTTGCTGTACTAATTGTGAAGGCAGTGCGTACGCTATTCACGCTTCTTGCGCCGTATATTCGTCGTATTTCTAACCGTTTCGAGTTTAATTTGGAAGGTGATGTTTGAAGTGCCTTTTATGATTTTGATTTGAATTTTGATGTGGATTTATTCAGTTTGCTGAGTTGACATATTTCGTGTTTCAATTTCTGAACGAAATATACCGAATTTCATCATTGTCCACTTATTATTCTTCATTTGTCAGTCTTTTTTCACGGTTTGTACACTCGATCACACTTATGCATTATATGTTGCGATGCGTTGTTAATTCGTGTGTCCAAATATTTACACATTTCTGTGGAGCATTTTCTGATCGCGTTGTTGTTGAGATCAAAAGCACTCACATTAGTAAATTTCACTTCATTTTTATTAAAACACTGGAATACTGGTCGATGAATTTCTGATAAATTGGCGTCGTACTGAACCAGTAGATTGTTGAACAAAAAACGAGTCAGTTCGATAAATTGTGAGCACATCAGTCTTTTGTTTTCAATTAGCAGTTGTTGCTTTTATCACTTACACTTGAATGCTAAATGTTTCCGGTCAATACAAAAAGTCTAAGCCTAGAAAACGATATTCTTCACTTATTCCTCTGTCTTAAAATTATTTTGGTAGTGTTGCAAATTCATCGTGTTTTTCTGGAATGAACTGTATTCTTGAGGTGAATCATTGACTACTGCAAGGTTCCTCCAGTGATCAGCTTTGTTCTTATTAAAGCCAGAGAAAATTTCACAGTTTAATCTGTTCATTTTATACTTCGCTCACTCATTATTCTGAATTTTTGATACGTTTCTAACACGTTTTATAAATTTTGTGTTAAATGCGATCATTTGGTTGGTGTTCATTAAAAATTTAAAATGTTTCGAAATATATTATTATTCTATTATAGAATTGTTAATAATTTTTATGATGTTGACGTATGGGTGAATGAATGAGTTAATGATCAATCAATGAGTGTTAAATACTTAACGATCAATATGGGCAGAATTGAAGAGAGGTTTTCGAATTGTCCTTTTACTGTTTTTATTTGATCACATTTTCAGTTGATTACATATGTTTGGTTGCTTATTGTTGAAGCAGTTGTTTCTTCATTCGTTACTCATGTCCTTTCGGATGAATCCATTTGTACATGATAATGAGATGTTTGTTTATTTTGTGACTGTTCTGTATATTTGAATTGAATTGAGGAATAATTAAAGATCTTATCCTTCTGTTTTGTTTATTGTTCGTATTTGTGTTGTATTATTTCATTATTAACTTTTTCATAGTTTTCATCCATCAGATTGTTACTATATATTTATCATGCAGTTAATATTTTTTATTATACTGTTGTTGAAAATTAAACCGATGAAGAAAAATAAATAAAACACAAAAACTCATTTTTATCTATGATCATTATTATCGTTTTCAGTATTGTTGTGCATTTGGCGTCAGTTATTGTTTCAACATCAGATAACAGCGCTCAGCAATACGCCACCAGATGAAGGTGTTTTTTTGCCTAATTTTAACGTTCAGATTCAGGCTTTTGAATAATTTTTATTCCCTCGTCGGTGGTGATTATTTCAATAATCTAAATCTAGATATATTACTTTTTGATGGGATGAAATGAGTCGGTAGTAGGTGGACTTGTCGTGGTTCTGTTTGACGTTTCGCTGTTTGATGCCGATGTTTCTAGTTGCGTAGAACTGTCGCGGACTGAATGTATTTCAAGAATGATTGTCGGTGCATTAACTTGGAACGAATATGAATCCCAAAGTTGGCGTGAAAACAATTCATATTAACAAAAGTAACCGATTGCTGATGTCTTCAGGTGATGAACAAGTAAATAGATAAGTCGCATTATCGTTTTATTGCACGATTTGATGTGACGCAAGTCACATCAATGCGATAGGTTCGTCATTATGTGCTAATCTCAAAATAAGTTATCTCAAACCAATAACTTGTTTGATGGGCTGAGAGTTGATCATTTATGTCGTGGATTGGGACGCACAGAGAGGAAATGCAATTGAATTGTTTGCTTATCGTTCTTGAATGATGTCGTTTTCAATCTAGTGCTGTTGCAATCGTGATCAAGTACGAGACAAACTTATCGATTTTTTATTTGTTAGTAACGAAATAGCACGAAAACTGGATTAATTGTTTCGTTATCGTAGAAATTTTAAACAGTTTGCTGATCTACTACAGAAAAGAAAGCATCATGTCATCGTCGCATCAAGCAATTGTTATAGCGGGTGAGGCATCTGAAACTGATGAGGAGGACGATCATAATGAACAGCAGTTTAGTATTTCTATTAAAGATAACGATGACGATGAGCATATTGTTGCTGATGGTGATTCATTAAGACAGCATCGGAATGAATCGTCGAAAACGCAAAATAGGTAGGTAGATGATTTTGGCGATCTTATTACTTGTAAATGACTGTCGGCATTTATCCGTGAACAAAACGGACATTTCAATGCAATCATTTGATTTGTTCTAATCGCATTGGTATACTATTAACATAAGTGTTTCTCATGTTTTTGCGTGCAATGCCTCCCTTTGACCTTGTATAGCAGATCTCAATCCCACTCGCCCCCCTTCCTTTTCAACAATCTATGTGAACGTCATTACTCACCCCACTCCTTGTCACAATCTTTCACTTACATTAGAAGCGACAGGTCAGTGAAGATTATAAAATTGATTCATGAATTGATTTTTTTGGTTGATTTGAAGAATTCGTCGATGATATTGGATTATGTCAAAGAAAAATCACTTTCTTGTCATCAAAGAAATATTTTGAACACATTGAACTGTTATGGAAGAACAATGAAAAATAATCAGTTCGCATTGATTTGCTAATCTCGCCAATATGCCTTGGCATTCTCAAATTCTCCCCGCTCCTCCCTTATAATGGGAAGCAACAATATACGCCATTAAAACGTGCGCTACTTCTGTCTGCAGTTCATGAGTGCACTACAAATTATTTTTGTGTGTTTGATTAATTACATGCTAGATTCATTATTGCACCAGGATATGTACAATTAATTCATGAGATAAGTAATGAACAACACTTTGAATAACTGAATATTATTGTGTAGCACTCTATTAAGCTGCAGTGAGTGGAATGCGATGAATTTAACAAATCGAGCATGGAGTATGCATGTGGATGAAAAACTTGAAAATCGATGGCGATTGTTGGCTGCAGATGCGAATTCATTTGCGAATCGACAATGTGTTCCGCTCAAGAAACAAATGGAAATTCTCAGAAGTGCTACAACAAACACTCAGCACATTGTTCAAGTATACACTTATGCTGCTTTACTCGTTCGGTTTAAGTACTCCTATGATTGAACGTTCCATTATGAGATAGATAGACCTAATTCATGATTTCATTCACAGCATTAATCGTTCACCTACATTCTCCATTATTATGATACCTGTAGAGTATACGAATTAGTAGCCGACTAGTGAATGTTATTGATGATCTTTTGCAGGAAGTTTCGTTCAATTTGAGAAGAGCGTCCGAGAATTTGGCTCATCTTGAAGCAAATATATCATTATTGCTGGAAGGAGCAAAATTTGTACCTGACTTGGTAATGTTGCCGAATAATAATTGATTGGTGACTTCCAATTTGTCAGATGTATTTTCGTTAATTTGATTATCGTCTTCATTTTTTGTATCTTATAGAATTTTTGATCAATTTGCATGCAGTTGTTTCTTGCACGGTCTTTTACCACTATTATCGCTGTTTTATTACTTCGTTGTCAAAACGTTGTTGTCAAAAATGAGCTCACGAAGTTTTGTTCTCTTGCTTCGTGGTGCACAAAATGTAAAGCCGAGCGAGTATTACAGAGAGCATCGCTTATTTTCGTATATACGTTTGCGGAATCCCAAACATGACCAGAGGCAATAAAAATGTCTTGTTACAATATTGGTTCATAATAAGGTGCTTCGTTGCCTCTGTAAGTTCTGAGTGCTCTCGTATGTAATGGCAGCAGATCTGAGCGAATTGTTTTCTCGTTCCCTTCATTTCTACTTTTGGATTCATTTGCGCAGAGCTGAATGCATCAGGTGATAAAAACTATTGTAGTCTTGCGATTATTTTACAGTGATGTTTCATTGTGTTCATGATAAATGATCTAAGGAATCCTGATAATGCATGATATTCGTGATGAATCAGTTTGTCACTCTTTGTTCTATCACTAATGAATCAAATACGATGACAGTCTCTTTGTTACCCTTGTAAGAGGCATTTCGGGACTGTAAACAAATGTCATCAATCAAATTTCGTTTTCGTTTGGCTGATCAGTTGCAGAATGAGAACCGTTTATCTCATTACTTCTTTGTTCAGTTTCTTCATGTATTTTTGAGCAAAGATATATGGACGAATCAAGAATTCTTGTGCTTCAATTCAATTTTACCGCTTCATTTTTTGACATCGTGATCTAGATTGTCGTATATTTTTGGCATTGATATGTGGTTACCGAGCTACTGTCAACTTTTCATATCATTTTGTCGTATTTTTTTCAAGGTTTTCGATAAGAACAATCCTTGCTTCATTATCCACCTTTTAGCATGGTTTTATTTTTGCAATCTCATCTCATACGATCTTGATACTCACAAAATGAGGCGCGATTCAGTAGATTTTATTTATATTAAACATACGCTCATTGGTACACCACTCGGTTTCGAGCAAAATTTTCCTCCGCGAACGGTAAAAAAGTTTTGTTTGAAACCGAGTGGTGTACCAATATCATTGATGTTGCGAGCCTAAGGCAGGCTATGATTCGGCTTGTATTTAATCATATGCATATTGTTCACAAAACATTTCTGTATATGTGATTGTTGGTTATTTAACAACGTTAGTAGTATAAATTAATTTTGCTAACGAATCTTGAAACGATGCTTCCTTGTCGTCGACAAGTTGTTTGTACTCAACCTATACAGAATACTTTCAACTGTTTGTGAGTTTTTATCACGGTGCAGTGTTCTTGGTTCACTTAGTACACAGTTATTCTACGCATGAAGCACTACACGCACTGGAGAAAAGATCTTCTAAAAAGAAGAAATATAAACGAACATATAAATTATTTGCAGCATTAGCAGTGATAATACTAATATTTTTCACTAGTGATATACGTATTATTTCGAATCGATTGTTCGAATTCGAGACGAGACATTCTCGAGCATAGCGATGCTGTTGTCCATTTTCTTTTTTGAGAACGCAAATAGACCAAACGACAATCATTTTAATGCACACCACATGACATGAAGTAATAACAGTGGTGTATAAAGTGAATTATGTGATGCAAATATCGTGTTGTGCTGCATTCAGTTTTATCAGCAGGATAGATCAGTACTGATAATTTATTCTCTCACCATTCATTATCAGTGATACCGTTAATGACCTACCTATCAAACACTTCGATTCAAAAGTATTTAGCGGATGCCTCTTTTGTGATGCTGATATTTGATAGTTCCTCATTGGGAGGATGGGATTTGTTTGTTTGGTGAGTGGCATGAAGATTTCTTGTTGCTAGCGATTGATCCCGAGGGACTGGTGATCGATTCAATCATTTTAAAGCTTTGCTGAGCCCAACCATCGTTGGTTGTTCACTCGCTGGCTGCTAGGATTGATTTCAAGGGTCAAACGTGGTGTTAATCAGTATATACATCAGCCAGCTCTTACTGTCCCTCATTCTTTATATCTATTTCCTCACTCATTCACCCCATGGGTATTGCAAAGACCCAGTATATGAAAGGTCTGTTATTCACAGAATGTGCAAATCAAGTCAATTCTATTAATGGAAACGGTTCGAAAGAAAGATTTGATCATGTAGAACCTGGAGGTTTTTTATTGAATGAACTCCTGTAGATAACAGTATTTTGAAGAGTTGATCGCTCATAATTTTTGACCATTATATCCGAAAGCATTCATTCATTCGGTTGAAGGTCTCCACTCGTCGTTTAGCCCTTCTTTCATTCAATAAGCAACCTTACTGATACGTTTGAAATAAGTATTCCAATACTTCACCATTTCACTTTCGTTTCGACGTTCACTGAAATCACTTCGCTTTTGATAAATTCGAGCTGAGTGCAATTCATATTCAGGTGGTGTTACAGGAGGATCAACGGGTTAGTGCGACAAATGATGGGTACAAGAGAAGAGGATCAACAAGAAAAGACTAGTCAACAACAAATCATTGACATGCAGCTTGGAAGTGAGTCAGTCAATTTGAATGTGAAAGCAAAAAGTGTTCGTTTGTTGTGATGATTTGAATCTCTTTTCTCGCCTTCATCGTCACTGTTCACTGAACCTTACAAAGTTTCACCAGTAACTATTCAACAATACCGTATAATTGACAAAGATTCGCTTCATATATAAGAGTAACTGCGCAGCGATCGATTCAACGTAAACGCATTCAACTAAGAATTTGTCATGTTGAGGATGCAAGTACGTTCGAGTTAGTGATAATATAACGTATATTGGTGTTGGTGTTCTACTACGTGAATGTCATGGAATTCTCGAATTACTAATGGTACAAGAAGCCAAGAAACGATGCTATGGCAAGTGCGTTTTTGATATTGGTTTGTTTGGATTTTGATTGGTTGAGAAGAACTGATTCTATTTATTCCAGTTCAATTAAGTTATTACTTAGTCATCTCTCTGCTTTAGGTGGTATATCCCTTCTGGCCGAATCGAAAGTGGCGAAACAATTGAAGTGGGTAAACTTGTTCCCAATAGACGTTACTTTGTTTCGTTGTTATTTCGTCAATGTTATTATCAACATTCAGCATCCAGCTTCAGTCTGTGCCATGGTTATTTGACTCAAATATACTGCGTGCAAACATTTAGCAACAAAATTGAAAATTTTACATAGGCAACAACTATTCGCTGCGACGTAATCAGTAGAAGTATTATAGATTTTAACATTCGTTTGAAATATTACTCAGGAAGGAGTATGTCGTGAAGTGCTTGAAGAGAGTGGTTACAAATGTGAATTAGAAGAATTACTGTGTATGCAAGTGCAAGGGTCTGGATGGTATCGTTTCGCATTTTATTGCAACGTTATTGGTTAGCTGCTGTTTTTATTTCAAATACTCCACTTCAATGCATTCTTGCTTATATAGTTCAGTGCAGTGTTGCCAACTGTGTTCAGCGATGATGATCAACGGTTTTGTTTTTATTATCTTTCGTGTTATTACGGTGCAGTACTTGAGCCTGTATATTCGTTTCGTGCAGAGGAAATTGAGACCACATCTAATTAGAGAAATCAACGTTTTGATTATAGAATTTCATTCTGAGAAAAGCAGATCTTTTTGTAGGCAGTCCCAGACTTTCAACTGCAATCGATTTAGAGACGAGAAAAAATTAGCAGTTGGAGAAAACATTTTATAGCAGTATTGTTGGGATTTTCACGCTGAAAACATGACATGAGCTAATTTGTCGTCAATTTAAGTGAATGGAAAAGTTCGCAAGTTATCAGTTCCAAATAAATAGCATCTTCTTCGTATGGAAGATAGATGATACACATCCGCAACATATTCACAGCACTGAGCAATTCAGGTGGCGAACGCAAAACTGTAGCTGATGCGGAGTCGTTATCTTCGAATTGGTTTCCAGTAGAGGATGTCAGAGCGAAAAAAATTGAAACCAGGTATATATTCACTGTTCAATTCAGCGAAAGACTGCGTTCTATTTTCTTTAAGAATATATTACGTTTCTTTTCTCACTTGTTTTTGCTGGTATTGAATAATTTATGCGCTGATACTTTTTTAGTAGTCGGCTTCTTTTTCGAAGTTTAAAATACATCTCTGTATTGGATAGGTTTCACAAATTGTGGTTCGAGGTAAGAATATTAAAGTGATGTCTTTATTAAACCTGGACAACCGCAGCTTATTCTGACGTCTTATGTCTTATGTAAGTTTTCGAAGGAAAATTCTTATTCTAAGGACGATCAATTATAACAGATTTACTTACTGTGTTTTCGATTGGTTATTGCGTCTTACAGAGGGATGGATTTCTTAAAAATAATTGATGATGCGTTGCGATATCGAGCATGGCGATCAGAGCATCTGGAAACGCTTCCTCGACGGCAGTTCATACCGGTTCCCGTTTCGGTCCGAGGGCTTTTTATCGAATTCCTGATTATTCGGCATGCAAAGTATGATAGTTGTTATGCTTATTTGTTTGCTCACACATTCATCGTCTGCTTGTTTTCATCGAGAATTTATGAACGAATGAATTCTGCAAAAGGTAAATTCTTCTCACTTATTCGTTTTATGATCGCTATTTGCAGAACAAAAACTGAACTTCTCGTGCATCATCACATTGAAGAGTGCGATCAGATCTTAACCTCAGCAGATGCTTTTCCACTGGCCGAATTCGGATTTGAATACTTTTTTGCAATGGTCGTTTCAAAATGCTTCCAGGTTATTAATTTTATGAAGCTGCATCTTTTGAATGATTATATGTGCACATCACAAAAGCTGTTGGTGATTGCGAGTATTTAATAAAGGTGTAATATTGTTACAATAGATGTGACCGTACAAAAATAAAGTGTATCTTTGTGATTAGTAGGCAGGAAGATAGAAAGATAATTATAATGATGATATTAATATACGTATTTGATATTGCGTTCCCTCATAACAACTACGTTGTGGATGTTACAGTCAATCATAATCGTTGGAACTTTCCACGTGTGTAATTTTGAAAAATGAGTAAATCAGCCTTAGGCGGTGATCTGTTGTAACATAGCATAATAGACTGAAAAGGCATAATATTTTCTGCAAGACATAATAAAAAATTAAGCGCGTAACAGTCTGTGTCCATGTGAAGGGAATGGTCATTCCCCCAATCTAAGCGCTAAACTATAGAGTGGTTGTGATGCAAGTGTTGAAGTAGCATTAACAGGATCAGTAGTATTCTTCTTATGAAAGTGAAAAGAAAAGTGTAATTTGATTAGAGACGTCCACAAACACAAGTATTGTTCTTATTGATTGCTAATTGAATGCATTCTAATAAATAATCGTGCGATTTTTCACTAGTAGATATAGAAAGAGTGGTTTAGTGATAATGCTGTAATATTTGATTAAGTTGTAATTAATAATGTGATGTTGTGGGCATCGAATAGGAAGCATTTGATCTAATTGTGTGGTGTGAGATTTTTGAAATAATTTATTTATGTTGATTTGATGAGAATGCCGAGGATAAGGACGAGGACGTTGTTGTTATTGTCGAAGACTATTTGAAGTGATGACGATCCAATAGACTTTATAAAAATGTTTTGAATCATTTCAGTCATTCCACTCGTATTTTGTGCTTTTTAAACCATTCCTTTTCGTACTTTGAACTGCATACTTCTCGATTTCTACTTCTCAAACGTCTAGCTAGAGTCTTTACTTCACTGTACTAGTGTTCCATCCATGTGTAAGTGTTGGTTAGATAGTAAATTAATTATATGGTCCGTAATAATAAAATATAATAATAACCACAATAACAATAGTGATAATAATGTTGAGAACAGTGATAACAGTATGAACGCTAATAGTAGTACTGATATTAATAATAAAAGTGGTAGTGGTAATGATAATGATGGTAGTAGTGCTGATAATAATAATAATAACAATAATAATAATAACAATAATGATAATAATAATAATAATAATAATAATAATAATAATGAAATAGTAATAGTAATAATAATAATAATAAAATAAATAGTAATAAGAGGGATCGTTAAATGGAGCTGTTATTATAGCTGCTGCAACCGATAGCTGTTTTCGAAGTTTGTTCGGCTGTATGTGCATGACGTGTAAGCAGTGATATTATGCATATGTAATGTTTGATGAATATAATAAATGATACGGGTTTATGTGGATGCTGTAACAAATATTGTTATGAGATAAGTGCTTGAATGGATGGTTGAAACGAGCTGCAGTAAGATGAATGATGAATAATTTTGAAGTGCTTGCTGATGAGAACATGATTGGGCTTGTGATGGTGCATATTTGTGGTTAGATTTGAGAAAGGAGTTGGTTGGGATGAATCGTTGCATGAGTAATGAGCATGAGATCGTTCTATGTTAGCCTCTCAATCAAACAAGCTTTTGTCTTTGATGCACCGCTTTGATGCACACCAATACGTACAACACCTAACACATGTATATTTATTGATGACTTTAATATGTAGCAGTATATTAGAAGTGCTAGACGACAAATTGTTTAATTGGTAATGGATGCGTAGTTGATTTCATTCAAATATTTCGTGTCGATGAAGCGATTGATGTGATGAGAAGGGATGATGTCTAGTCCATTTTTCGTTCTTTGATTCTATGGCAGTTATTCGTGTGTTTATTTGTGTTTGTTGTTTGTATTTCTTATTTTAATGTTCTATAGTTAACTCAACGATAACTTTGTTTTAGTAAGATGAATGTTGTCATTCCTGTAAATGCGATAATGCTGTATTCTTGTAGAGCATTTGATTGAGCTTTCTTATCTTGTTTTGGAAAACTTGTTGCTCTGAGTATGATGGTAAACGGAGTGGTTAAAGAATAGGAAACTTGATATGTTTAGAGTATATGAGGTATGTTCAAGTAACGATAAACTGGATGGTGCATGTAACAGATTCTCGAGGGCTTATTTGCGTCCATGATAAATTCACTGCTTTGAGGCTCAATATGCTCAGATACACCCACGAATATATTCAAGGATACTGTAGTTATTCACTTTTCACACTCTGATTTTCCAAAATTATTTACTTGAAAATAGTGTGTGAAAATCAATCAGTTTCATACTTTTCGAAGTGGCCAGCTCAATTTGTGTTCAGCAACACTCTTCTCTTTTAAATATTATCTTCTTTGTTATTTCATGCTCATATTTTAATTTATCGTTATTATCATCCAGCTTTAGTGATGGGATTCGAGCGAAATTTCGATCGGTCGGAATTCGACCGAGTTGGCATTTCGTCGTTCCGACAGTCAGAATTTCCATCGACTGTCAAAACAGTTCGGTCGGAATCCAATCGAGTTGGCATTTTGTTATTCCTGCAGTCGGAATTCCGACCGACTGTCGGAATGGCTCGGTCGGAATCCGATCGAACTGGCATTTCGTCGTTCCGACAGTCACAGTTCTGGCCGACTGTCTGAATCCGACTGAAATTTTTCCGAGTCCACCAAAATTCGGTAATTTCTCGGAATTGTTCAGAACGTCTATAAACAATCACATACACATTCTTGCATGTGATGGAGAGGTTTGCAGCTATCCAGGACCATTTATTCCTGCGATAAATATTCCACGTTTGTAACAGCTAGTTTAAACGAAAATTTATTTGAATATCAAAACAACAGAGATATATCCATGATCGGTTATAAATTGATATATCAACGAGAAAACGTAACGCATCAGTTTTGGTTAAAAAACATCTCCCGAATATGAAAAAACTACACCTGAAACACAAAAAATAATTTAACAAAAGAAACATCATCCAACAGAAAAATTGGAAAGGATATTAATCCATTAAAACATTGAAGAAATAATCAAAAAATAGAAAAGTGTAGTTTATGAGAACGTCATGGCAACAACAGTACATATATCAGTATTATGAATTTTTACGTTCGCAGAAAACAATGTACCAATTTTGATGATCCAGCCACACTTCAACATTAAGAAATAGCATTAAACTTTAAAACAACATTGTAAAATGTATCGATTTTTTAAAAACAAAATGCACAAAAATAATGCGCTGTTCAAATTTTAAACAAAATAATACTTGGAAAACGATTTCCGATTTAGCTTCACGTATCTAGACGCAGCAGAGATCATTTGAATACGCAGTACAAACTGTCTTTTTCTCTAATTGCACCCAGTTGCCATTGCATTCCAAGATGAAAAGTACAAAGAGACTCCCTCATGATATCGAAGGAACCGGAATGGGGGTGGAATTGTGAGTGGTTGGAATCTGACCGGGTCAACATTTCGTCTCTCCGACAGTTGGGATTCCGACTGAATGTCGGAGCGGTTCGGTCGAGGTCCAGCCGAACTGGCACCTCGCCTTTCCGACAGTCGGAATCCGACCGAGTTGGCGTTTTGTTATACCGACAGACTTTTCAAATTGCTTGGTTGGAATCAGACCGTCGATATTCCGAACAAAATTGTCGGATTTTTCCTACCGACTGTCGGTCGGATCCCACTAGGTTTTTGCGAGAATCGATGCCAGTTAAATGAAGCTGGTGAGCTGTCTAATGGCTGCAGCTCGAGTGTTCTCATTTTGAGGAAGAAAAAGTAAAATATCTATGCATGAACGAATTGAGTAATACGAATGGAAAAATATTCATTGTGAATAAGCAACGTGAATAGCGAACAAGTTAAAAGAATTTGTTTAGTTGTCTTCTGGCGAGCTGACTTGTGGGTGCATGCATTTATCAGTTCAGCTTGTTTATATCGGTTGCTTATAAATATATCCACTTATCTCTTTTTCCAACATTCAGCAAATCTTGAGTTAGCAAATGATTTGAATTCAGTATGCTCTTTATTCAAAAAACGTCAAACAGTAGCAGCAACAATAACAGATGTGTAATTGTAACAAATAGTTTGTTTGCAGACAGCGGAGATATATTGTTGTTGAATAAGGCAGTGATGAGGTCAGAATAGAACCAGATCAAATTGATTGTACTGGAGATGTTGTTGTTTATATTTATATCCGTAATAACGAGCACACTACCAAGAACAATGGTGGTAATCGCCTATTAATCAACAATCAATGCAAAGTTCTATTTAGCATATGTTAAAAGATGGTCGAAGCGCTATTGATATACCAAAACAAATCACTCGAATAGAATGTACGGCGTACCCGTCAGATGGCATAGAACATGGATTACGAGTTCGCGTGATATGCTTGCAGAAGTGGTCAATGAATCCTGCTCAAATTCGTGATATTCACAGATATCATTGGATAACAGTCAGTGAAAGTGTTATGCATCAACTCCATCTGTCAAACGATCAGTATCGTCCAACACTTTATCTACTTTGAATTATTGTTTAATTATCATTATCTTTATTTGTGATATCCGTTGGATAGCATTCAGTATTAATTGATTAATGCCTATCGTCAGCGCAACTTTATGACATATACAAGTCAATATCAAATGAACAAATTAAAAACAGATCTCTTCACATCCTTTCACTGCTCTATATATTCATTCTTATCATACTAATGACGACCATATTTCCAATTCAGTGCATCACTCACCGAGCGGAAAAATTTTGCTGTTTAGCACTTGTTCCATCTAGTGTTCGTCGGGGAGCAATTTTTTGCACGGGGGGGGGGTCCCCGCGGGG